GTCTTTGCTTGTTAAAAATGCATGTGCTGGTACATGTAGTTCTCCAGTGAAATCCCTGTCCCAGATTCTGACAGACAGAACAGCCTCCAGCCGCCTCAGGCGGGAGCAGCACGGAGGGTTCGCCCTTTGGTGGGACGTGATGGAAATAAACACTCTCCACAAGAAGCAACACCAGGCGAGGGAAGGGCCAGCTCCCGTTGGTAGGAGCTGGTGGCAAACAGCACGGCGTTAGAGGTCCTGCAGCGTTCCCGAGCGATGGAGGGCATGTGGATGTATATTAAGCAACTTTGAAAATTACCGACTTGCTGTTTCTGTGACGCAAACCTGCAGAAACCAGTCCTCCACAGGGACAGCTCAGATTTAGTGCTAGGCTGCAGCGTTTGTGAGACCCAGCGGATCTTTTGGGGTGTTCAGTTAAAGCTGGCCTCAGCGTAAAGGTAGTGAAACATTTGAGCAGTTCCAAACTGAAACCTTTCAATCCTACCAGACATTAAGAAATTAATTGTAAAAAGGTAAATATTTTGTATACATATATGCATGTCTATGATGAATAAAGAAATACTTGTATGTATCTATCCATGTGTGCACGCAGAGAAAAAATATCTGTAAGTGGATATCAGAACCAGAACAGACTTGATTTTAAATACACTGTGTTCAGGCAGGTAAGTGTCTGATCCTTCCTGCACCTCCCCTGGCTGAGAGCGAGTAAGGTCTCAGAGAGACAAGTCTTCACAGGATCAGAATTGTTGATAGCAGAGCTTCCTTGTCCTCTGCAGTTGCCATGGATGCCAAACTGCTATGGGATGCGGGAGAGTTGGAAAGAAGGCTCTTCAGCTGGGGGTGTCTTTGTGACAGTACTGCAAATCCTGGTGTAACTAGTTCTGATAAAACAAACACAGTTCTGGAGCTGTAGAAAAAATTCTACATTTATTTAGGAATTATTTTATGTGTGTATCTAACATGCTGCCAAACTGCGGACACACAAAAGCTGCAAAATGGCTCTTTGCTTGAACAGATAGGGTTTTGTAGTGCTGGATTCCTGCATCCTTTGTCAAAATAGCATCAAGACGTTGTCTGTCTGGACAATCCAAGAAAAACGTGGCTGTAAGTTTTCTGTACCTTCTTAAAAACATGTGTGTAGAAGTGCTTTAAAAAGAGAACACATAGCATAAATTGTGTGGGAGGAGCTAAAATGTGTATTTCTTTTGGAAACGAGGTTTTCTTTTAAATACAGAAATACAAAGCGTGTGGGCAGAAGGGTGTGGGCAGAGCCCTGTGGAGCAGTACCCTTTCGAAACGCAGTTTCAATCCCAGGTTGTGGAGGGTGAGATGGCAGATGTTCAGAAACAGCACAGTGGATCTCTTTCTGTTTACACTGAAGTAAAAACGAATCATAACCCTTCTACAACTGTGGATGCTCTTGTTCACACTAACATAATGCAGAGGTGCGATACAGAACCTGGATGAATGAACTGAAGGCCGCTGTTAGGCACTCCTGAAATTGCTTCCTCTTCCTATGGCGTTAGAATTCAATTGCATTGTACGGCATAAAATCAGAAAGCTGAACTGTAGGCAACAGTGGGAGTGGAGGATAAAATATTTCTTCGCAGGGTGTACCTGTATCGTTTGCTAGTAGATTCCTATTTATTGCCATGGATGTGTCATACGAACCAAAAATGGATATTTAATAATCATACCAGGGTCAAGATAAGGGTCACATTCTGTTCTCATTAATAGTAATTTATACTGAAAGTAATTCCAGTAAGAATCGATTTTACCTGGCTATACATAGAACCAGAAGTGCATTCTTCCCCCTTTTGGACTAACAGGAGTTTTGGTCGTAGCGTTTTTCTGCTGGGCTGCTTGACTCCGGCACGAAGCTTGCAAAGCGAGGGCACGCAGGTGACAGCTCTGCACCCGGGCAGGAGCCTGGCTCTGGTGTTGGGTGCCCCGTGCCTTGCTCTGGAGCGGAGGGGCCGGATCCAGTGCTGGGTGGCCGGCTGTGCTCTGGCTGTGGTGCAGAGTCCTTCCAGGTGCTCAGTCACGGTCTGTGCCGCAGTGGCTCCCTCCAGCCTGGGGCACAGAAGCTGTCCCAGGGCTGTGGCACTTTCGGGGCAGCCAAGGTAGTGCTAGTTCCCCTTGGCACTTAGCAGTGAATTTTCAGTTCAGTGGCTCAGATCTCTCCTTGGGCTTTATTCCTGCCTTCTCCTATCATGTAATACCACGGTTTGATTTAATTTTTAATAAACTCTGCTTAGTAAGTTCTATAGTATGATGCAAATGCTGCTTGCTTTTTTTCAGCAATTATTTGGATTTTTTTTAACTTTGAACGTTTTGTATTGGTGATGAATGGGGTTGTTTCATAGACATGTGCTTGGTCAAAGCATGCAGTGAACAGTCCAGCATCCTTGCTGTTCAGTTGCTGCACTGTGGGAGTTGAAGGTGGAATTTGAAAGCTGTGCCTTGCAAGGGCAGTGGTCACTGGGCAGGTGACTGTCACCGTCATGAGTGCACAGCATTATGGTGCACGGTTTGCAAAGAGACAAGTGGATTCTCTACTTAGAGAAACAGGTGAAGGCATCTGTCATTGAACAGTATTTCTACTGGAATTTTTCTAGTGGAAAATGACGTAGTTTCCTGACTTCCTAGTTGGTGACTGGGAAGTGGCATAGAAGGCCCAATATGTCCCTTTCACTTCTGAAAGTAAATACTGATTTCTCAACAGAAAACAGACTTTCAGAAAGCGCCACTAAATCTGTGGTCATTGGAAAATTTCTCATTCGCCAGAACTGGAGTATTCATTCCAGCGAGTGAGGATTACTCATTCTCCCTCCAGGTGCCTCAGACGTACCCTCCATCTTCTTGATGTTCAGGCTGACAAATCTGCAGTGTTTTATTAAGTAGAACGTAACCTTGCACTGAAGTTATCAGTTCTAATTTAACTTTTTTTTTTCGTACTCTTTGGATGTCTTTCTGTATAGTTTAAGTGCTGTTTTAGTCTGTTCTTCAGACTCTGAGCTTGATTAACTACCAGAAATGCAGACACTCTTAACTGACCCTGCAAAGGACTTTCAGTGTTGACTGCAGAAACTAGACAGGGGACTGGAAATAGAGCTACAGGGCTTGGATCCAGCAGAAACGCCATTCTAAATGTGTGTTACCAAAATTGTTAGGTGTCCAGGCTCTGTTGCAGTATCCAAGACACTAACCCTGTGCCTCTGTCTGCATTGCAGCAGGCTTTGCCCACTTCATCTTCCCCAGAGCTGAATTTGTTGCTCTGCCCTGTGGTGGCCTCACTGAGCTCTGGGGGTGGAGGACAAGCGGACAAGAGCTTCCTCAAGCTGAGAAAACAGTTGTTCTCACATCACCCCTTTCCTGGATGAGTGATCCTAATTGATAATTCCTACAGAAAATGTAAGTGCCAACACCTAACTGCTGTCTTGTCATTGCTGTGAGACGAAGGCTGCTGGTGCTTCCCCTGAGGACAGCTGCACCTGAGGGAGCAGCGGCCAGGAGCTGGCCGTGAGCTGCTGTCATCTGACATTCACCGGTCTAGGACTTTTGCCGGCTTGATGACACAGCACGATAGTTTTCTCTGTAACTGCACATTGGAAGAACACTGGAGGATCGTTTTTCTCTGACAGATCTATTAAGCAGACTGATACACCTTTGATTTCCTTCCAGCAGGGCAAGCCAGCTCCTAGGGTTTTGTCAGGCAACTTCCTTTGTCGAAGGACCACATTAAGCCACAGTCTGGCAAGATTTTTCTACGCAATGAAACCTGATTTCCTTTCCATGCTCTTTAGTGAAGGTGAGGTAATGTGGCACTTGATTTAGCTGTGTGGTTGTAAAGTTGTGCCTAATTTGATAAAAGTCTCATCACAACAGCTTCCTTTGATAATCAGGAAATAATTGCCCTGCCCAGCTCCCTGTGAACAATTTCACCTTTCCAGCCGGTATCCTAAATCTCTCTGCTTCTACTCACTTTCTCAGTTATACCGGGAAGGAAACATTAGACAGAACTGGTCGAAGTGGAAGGGGTCCTTTCAGTGCTGAAGTGATGCTAGCACTTCCCACGCTGCCAGTTACTAGACCTGGTCTTTCTGTCACTCCTCCTTTCCTTCCTCACTCTCTATTCACACAGCTTGCACAAGACAGTCAGTACCCAGGAGGACAATAGTGGAGCTTCTGCTTCCGAGGGTGAGCTTGGGGTGTCCCTCTGTAACTTGCCTAGGAAAGACTGGTCCTGCCCAAAGCCCGGGGTTTCTGTGGTTTGTCTCTTGGTCGCAGGTAAATTAATCACAACACTCACAAGCAAAGAAGCATAGCCTGCTGTCCTAGACGGCTGTCTCCCTCTCTTATCTTAGCCCTCCCTTGCATGGACAGGAAGAAAGGTGAATGCTACCCAAACTCCTGAAATGCCTCAGACTTAGACATCCTGGTAAATCAGCTGTCGGTCATTTTTCACCTCGTGCACTGATTGCTGTAATACTGCTTCTTATTCCCAAATCATCCAGAAAGCTACATGCTGCTAAGGAGGGTCTCTGTGCAGTTCTGAACAGTCCTCTGGTGTCATCTCTCTCCTTTCCGTCTCTGTGTGAGAAGCCTTAGGAGATCGGTGTCTTGGTCTGATGGAAGCAGGGTGCAGACACTTGCAGAGGTGCCTGTGACTCGTGGAGAGGTGCCTGCTGCTGCTGGCTGTCTCGCTGTGGACTGGCTGCGAGGAAACGTTAAGTGTAGACTGTTCTAATAACGTGTGTGTTTCCATAAGCTGTAGCTGAGTCACAGTCACTTGGGATGTCACTTTTTATTCTGAAGTGTACAATTATAAAGCCTTTCTTTCTAGTCTTTAAAGTCGTAAATACCAGGTTTCTAACATACTGCAAGGAAAAGTCTACAACAGTAAAAGAAGTTAACAAACTAAGCACAATTGACTTATTCGTAATCGATTCTAACTTCAAAAATCAGCATTAGGTAATGGTCATTCTTTCTCTTTTCAGCGATCAGGTGGGGCCTTGGCTATCCCCCTGTGTGCATTTCAAGGAACTGTGTCTCTTCAGGCACCCACGGGAAAAACGCTCTCTTTATCTACATATGAGGTAAGCACGGAAGGGCAAAAAATACCCCCCGCCTCAAAGAAAATTGAAGTGTATCGATCTAAAAGTGTCGGTCACGAGCCAAACCTAGAGGAGTCTCCGAATACATTTGCTGACACAAGTGTTAAAATTCATTTAGAGGTGCTTGAAATTTGTGACAATGAAGAGGCCCTGGACACTGTGTCAATCATCAGTAATATCAGCCAGTCCTCCACACAGGTAAGGTCTCCATCCTTACGTTATTCACGGAAAGAAAACAGGTTTGTCTCATGTGATTTAGGGGAAACTGCCTCCTACTCCCTCTTCATACCGTCAAACAATCCTGACAGCGATATTAACATATCGATTCCAGACACTGTTGAAGCTCATCGGCAGAATAGTAAAAAGCAAGATATGGAAAGAGGTGGTTATCAGGAAGAAATTCAGATGTTGAATAAAGCGTACAGGAAACGGGAAGAAGATGGCAACGGCAATTAAAAGGCGTTTGATCTAGACATTTAAACTGATTTGACAGACATTGCTCCTCTTGACTCCAGTTACCCTAACGAATACAATGTCAACTGTTTTTTCCTAACATATAAATTAATTTTATTTGGATATGCTGTTAAATAGATAAAAACATTTAATGATATATGGCTGGGATAAAAAATACTGAAGTGCTTTACAGCTTTGCGTAGTGAATTTCAAGTTATTTCTGTATCTGTTTATTTAAGGAACACGTGTCTAAAAGGAATCCTAAATAAAATCTTAAAAACCAGCTTTGATTGCTTGCTGGCATGGGGTGGTCTGTTTGTGGGAACCTGTGGAAAATGAGGGAGCAAGCCCCCAAGGTGCCAAGTGACAGCAGTTTTGGCTGACTTGCAGTTCTTACTGATGTGCCAGACTTGAAACTATTATCTGAAAAAATGTAGCCCAAACCTAAGACTATCTTGTGTAGTTGACTACGTAGAGGATTAAAAGATATGTAAATGGTTTAATTTTCCACTGCTTTATCCATGATTCCTATGTAATACCTATGTAAGCGGCCATTGGATAGACCTTTGAATGTGGGTGGCTGAAATGTAAGCATGCGCATTTTGTAAATACGACACTGTGACACTTAGGAGTGTTCTCATGGTGGGCATTTCTTTGATGAAATGTGGCAAATGTTGGTTAATTTTATCCCAGATCTGTGTCAGGAGCTGGGGGTTACAACAGATTTGTGACTCCGTAGGAGGGGGGAAAGGAGTTATTCATGGTGGCCAAGCTTAGAGACTGAGCTTAGACATCGACCGCAAGAGAGTGGTCTTGCTACCTAAATTGGGTCCCAACCTGTATCACCCTCACAAGGCACCCACCTCTCTACTGACTTATTAAGGAACATAAAACTAAGTCTAAAGCCAGCCTAAAACCATTGACTACTCTAGTTTGTGTCAAATTCAGACAAACCAAGGCGGAAGCAGTGAATGGAGTCCTCAAGTCTTACATGAAATGTGCTGCATAAGCTTGAAACGCTAGCACATTTTGACTGAGAGCTCTTTTCTGAGGCTTTGTCATTCATTTCAGTTAACCAGAGGTAAATACACTCTCAGGACTTTCAGCAGTTTGGTTAAAAATTACACTGCTTCCTTAGGGAATAGATTAAATTTCCAGTGGTATGTGTGACAACATAATCATTTAGGGGTCTGCAGTGACCCCGTGTCCCACTCAGTGGGAACATGCAAGGGAAAATAAGGACAACCCTACTCAGGATTCCTTTGTGGGTTATGAACGGACAGAGCACAAGGGCCAAACAACGTGTCTGTTTGCACTCAGCATTCAGTAGGGAGGCATGAAAACAAGCGGGTGCCTTGCCTTCTCACTCCGCCAACATAAATCAGGCCTGCCATCGCAATCAGTGGGGCTCTGCTGGTGTGACAGTGATGTAGTGCTGAAGAGAATCAGGGTCGAAGGCTGCAGGTTGCTGTGATAGAGATGGATCGCTCTGCAGGTCGTGCTTGCCGCGCGCTGCCTTTCCAAGGTGAAAGCAAGGGCTCTCGTGGGATTGCCTCCAGGCTCTTAGCTCCACCAAGATGCTATGCTGTATTTCAGATTTAACGAGAACCTACAGTACAGTGAACAAGCAGTGGGAAGTCCATTGAATAAGTGGATGTTCAGACCTGCAGAGCAGAGAGACACATCCTGCTGTCTCTGAATATGTTGCTTTGCTTTGTGTTCTGTAGAAGGACCGCAGAAAGTATCTTCACAGCAACAGACCCACTCGGTCCAGAGAAAGGTGGCAAAACTGTGATGGAGGATGCAGTCCATCACACCTTCAGTTTGGCTGGGTGTTCTGTTTTCCCTGGAAGTGACTGTGACTGCGTTAACAGGATTAGGTGCTGCTGTGTTAATCTCTGATGGATGTATTTACAAAGTGTTCAGATTTGGAGGCATTAAAATTCTGCATAGCTGTGACCCGGAGCTTGGCCTGAGTGCAGAGTGTTGGCTTGCTGCTGTAACAAAACATGTATTTTCTTTAATGAATCTGTAAGTTTGATAATGTACAAATGTACAATTATTATATTTTTTCTTTAAATGACATCATTAAACAGTTTTAAGTGTCTGAAAACCCAAGTTGTAATTACTGAGTAGGTCTCAGCTCCTTGCACAAAGCACCGGAAAACTTGCTGTTTGAGCAAATTTGCTCCTGTTTTTTTTATTCCCATAAGCATTAAGGTGTCTTCATTTATCATTTTATGAAATGTATTTGGACTTAGTTTTTAAAACAGTTCTTTTATAATAGTTTTTAAGGAAGAAATTTTTCTTCCTCCTCTGTTGTTTTTCTCGTCTGACCTTTTAATGTATTTCAGTGACAGCTTGACATTTGAGGGGAAAGTGTTTGTCGATGAGCGTTTGAAGGTGACTTGAAAGAGACCTCGTCTCTGGTCAGACGCCACAGCGACTCACTGAGAAAAATCCCCTGGAAAATGTGGCTGGAATCCGCGGCTGGGCTTCCCCTGCTCTTCGGGTGTGCGTTGTTGAGTACTGCAAAGGATAGAAAACAAGAAACTGGGGAATAATTTTTGAGATAATCTTTGGTAAGCAGTATCTCTGGTGGCTCAGGGTTTCCTCTCAGTGGCACTCACAAAGACTGAGAGTAACATTACGTTAACAGAGCTACAGGAGAAATAAATCTGTCCTAAGCAGGGCCAGGCCCCAAAATCCCGAGTGCCTCAAAGGATTGTGCTTTGGAAATAAAAGAGACAGCCAGCTGCTGAAATGTACGTTTTCTGTACTAATCTTGACAGAAGATACATGTTACACCATCATACTATTTCAAAATGCAGTAATTTCATAAAATGTTACTTACCCATTATTTTACCTTTATAGATTTGGGGTTGATGCATAGATTCTGGAACATGACATCACCTCCCGGTATGTATCACTATAGGGATTTCCAAGAGGAGGGTTTCAGTGTTTTGTTCCTCTCTCGTAATGAATTTTGCAGATTTAGATGTCTCAGAGCAGAATAAATTCTGCTTTTCAAGCAATAGCTCCTACACAAGTTACAGTACCCATATCTGCACACTCGTGTATGCAGTAGGCTCTATGTTTGTGAAAACAAACTAATTTTCAGGACCTCCAGTCCTGGCACAAACAATTTTTGCTCTCAGAGAGAGTCCTGCTGACTGCGGTAGTGCTGGTGTGCAGCAGCAAGATTGTGCTCCGTGGGCTGAGAGCTGCAGTGCGGGATCCGCTTTCATTGGGTCTCCTCCTCGGTGTGTTCGCCTGACGAGTTTCGTGTCTCCTCATTAGGAACTGGGCTGCAGGGAATCTCACTGCAAAGTACTGAAAGGAGAACGCTATCTTCTGTCCGCTCTGAGCGCGTGCTGCCGCGTCGGGACCCCTGAGTACCGATGCCTGTCTTGACATCAGGGCAGCGTGCTGCTGAGGGGGTGGACACTGGACAGAGGTTAAAAGGAGTTGAAAAGGCCGGTAGTGTGCGAACCACTGTATCTTGTCATACATACTAGAAAATGATCTGTACATGAACAGATGCACATTTATTTCCAACACCTAAATCTACAAATTACTAAAAATATTTGAATTTACAATGTTTTCTGCAGGATGTGTGTTTTTTTCACAGTGTTAAAAGGACATGGCTGAAATGCAGTAGCTACGTGCATGTATATGGAAATTGCACTAAAATCGCATTTATTTCAAATGCGTGCAGTGCTTAGGTGTCCAAACACACTATCACGGAGAGATACTGGATCAAACAGAATAAATCTGTTGAAGTCCGAGTGATTCAAGGTAACCCCAGAACGTTTTTCTTCAATGATTTTAAGGAGATGCAACAGACAAACCCAGCTTTCTGAAAGCATCCTTAGGCACACAGAACCCAAGCCGGGACGCAGGGCTGTGCGCGAGCCTCGCGGCACCTGGGAGCGTGGCCGGGCATGCTGCTGATGGATACGCACCGCGAGCCCTGGCCGGTGGTACCTGGTACACATGGTCACCAGCGCCCTTTCACCCCAGGCTTCCCCAGTCTCAGCGTCAGACACATTGCCTGGCCTGGTATAGCTAAATACAGAACCGGAGGTAAGAATTGCCCCACCGCAGGTTCTCCTACAGGCTAAAGAAGGCCGGGAAGGCAAGCTTGTTTGCATGTGGGTGATGTCATGCCACTGATGTGAAGTTCACACCTGAGCAGCAGGATGAGTTTTCCCATCTAGTATCCTACCCGCACCATCCTTCCGAAAGGACCTCTGCCATTCTCCCTGGTCTGGCCTGTCTAGGTACGCCAGTGACATGTTTAACCAGAGGATCTTTTAACATTTCTTAGATTTCTGGATAGTTTATTTTGTGCTGATTTTCTTTGGCTCTTTTATTATGCCCTAGTTGGTTGCCACTGTGAGACTTCTGAAGAATGCTGGGAAATTAGTGTCAGTTTACGTCGGCTGAGGAATGCCAGAAGCCTTGGAGTGTGCTGCCCTAGTCTGCCTTAGGCTGTAGATGCAGGATGAGAAGTAAGGAAGGAGTACATTTCCTCCTAGATTTCTCATTTCTTTCCCGTGCTCCTTCCTGTAATTTGCCTTTCAGATGATCTTCCTCAGTACCCTCCAGTCCTTCTGCTCTGTTCTTGGTCCCCTCCTTTTCCCTCTTTTCCCTGGGTAACCTCACTCAAGGTTTAGCTACTCGCTGTGCTGATGACTCACACATCTTGTTCTCTGTTCCTTACTTGTCTCTTTATTAAAATTAGAATCTGAGCTTCTCTGAGATTTCCTCATACCTGAACCTAGGTATAGCCAGAGGAAGACCACATGATGTTCCTTGCACAAACCCTCCTGTGCGAGACCGTGGGATGACGCTGTTGCAGCCGCAGTGACCGGCTCTGGGTGCGTCGGTGTCTGCGCAGGACACTGCGGTGCGCCACGGTCTGGTCCCCAGCGCGGTGCAGTTCCGTCCTCGGTGGAACGGGCCCCCTCAGCCCTCTGCCACTGATTGTGACCTGAGGTGGCTTTGAGTAAAAGGCTACAAGCGCGTGCTGCGACAAGGCGGCGTAGCTCTGATTGCGTGTCTTAAGGCCACGGAATTAAGCATTTCCTTAAGCATGGAAAAGGATGAGCCTGGCCGCAAAGCAAGTGGCTGCTTGAATGCACAAAGCATTTTGTGACGGGAGAGGAAAAACGAAAATACAGTCAGTCGAGCACCTAGTTCTTACTTCTTTATATAGCCAGCTGCTGGGAGCTGTTGGACTAACTGCCGGTAAACTGTAGGCAGAAAAAAAAAAAAGAAAATGGTTTGAAAGAAGCAGTCCTTTACCCCAAAGAAGTTTGAAATACCCTGCATTACATTATATTTCAGAGATGTGAATGCCAGTAATTTTTAAACAAATGTAAATCACACCAACAAAGAAGAAAAGGAAAAAAAATATGTAAAGAAATGCGATGGAAAAAGCATTTATAGCTGCACAATGGTATTCAAGGAAACAAAAAGAACATTAATTAACTGTTGAAAGGGTAATAATTGTGGAAATAATTTTATCTAATCTAAAGGTTTAATTTGACACTGCAGAGAACACTGAAAAAGCAGACTGCACCCAGCAGCGACCAGCCAGCAGACCCAGAACTGGCAGCTATTTAATGCCGTGTGTGCTGTTTGGAAAAG